TCGGACTTGCCGCAATCGGCTCGGGTGTCGGCCAGGCCACGCCACACGAGAAAGCGGAGTTTTGAGACCTGCAAGCCTGTGCTGCCGAGTTGTGAACGGAATGCAGGGCATTGCCAGCGGCCGATGCATTGATGGCATCTCTCGTCAGCCGGAGGTGCAAGTTTGTTTTTGCGTTCTGAGGGCTGTATAGGGCAAGGCTGGCGTTTTTGTTGGGTCATCTTCTTGTTGAGTCGTGGGGTACGTACATCGGGGTGCCTGAGGTAGCGGATGACCTTCGTGGCGTGCTGATGCCTGGCGAAATTCAAGGGATATGAGAAGGCATTGCGCATGTAGGATCCCGGGACATCTTGCGTGTCCAGCGCCTATTGGCTAAGTGGAAGAGACACCACCATGTGTCTCTTTTCACAAGCTACTCTGGTGAACAAAGCAGAAGTTTTAGCAGGTGCGCATTGTAACACGGAATCTCAGGCTGCTGTCCCTGGCCTTCATGGAGTCCTTGACCATTTATGGTTTGGTGATCGCTCTGGTGCGCCTGCATGCTGCGTGAGACATTCTTAAAGATAGTGAAGCCCATTTGTACCTGCCTTGCCGTTCACCAGGTGCTCCTCTTCGCGAACCCACTCATCAAGTGAGCAGACCGTAACATACCGTGGACAATCCGGAGGAAGTTTTCCAACAGTAGCTGTACAGGCCGAAACTGTGGCACTTCTCCCCGAGGAACGAATCCCAATGACTGTACCTCAAGTGCCACACCGCAGGCCATGCGATCGCTGGCCTTGTCATGATGTCATACGCGTTGGAAGGGAGGATCGCGAGCCCAAAAAAGAAGATGAAGCATAGCCATTGGCATGGGTTTATGCAGACGTTGATGCAGAAGTTACCGAGACCTTCCAGGTACTCCGGAATGGGAGTTATAGAGGTATTTGGGGTTCAAGATATCATAATTTGTTTGTGGAAGGGCCCTGTAGGTAGGAAGACACTCGCAATATCTTGCCCGTGGTCTGGTGGCTGTGGGCTCAACACAAGCCCCAGATTGTCCCGACGCTTTGTTCCTGCCTTGCGCACCTTTCTGCTACAAATCCCAAGGCACGTGGCAGCTGGTTAGATCAGGGTCAGGTTTACCGGTTGGGATTCAAAGGTTCCGGACAATAAATACATTGAATGGGAGATTTCTGCCACGTTTTGGCGTTCACGTCAGCTCATCTGCCCAAGTCAAAGTGGCTTAGGATGGCTCGCTCTCTGGTTTTGACCGGGGCCGTGCTCCTCTGCAGCGGCCAAGAGCTCAGCGGCGCATATGTACTCGCAGACTAGGTATACATTGCGCTGCAAAAATGCGCAGTACAGAAGGCGCAGTCTTCACGGCCTTCGTTGCCGCGCCGCGTGCTGCCCCGGCCCCGGTGGCGCCACACGCTGCCACGGCTGCCTTGAGCGTCTGGGCTGCCAGCAGAGCATCAAGGCATGAGAATCTTCAGGGGGGTGTTGGCACAAAGTGTTTCCGGAGGATTGGAGCGTAAGAACAGCTCACACAGCTTTGATCGATGCATGATTTACGCCGATGTAAGCTACAAGATCCGATCCGACAGGAGAAACAGTATCTTGGCTTTGGGCGCATGAGCATAAATCATAACATGCCTATTACAAGGTTCCTGAAAATAGTTTCTAATATCTGTTACCTAGAATCCTAANNTGGGGTTCCAAATCCCTTAGGGTTATTTCCATTACCCATTGCGTTTGCGAGCATATGTGCGGCTGACATCAGGCGCCGTGACGCTGGTGGCTCCTCAAGCGGCCCATGCTGAGGCAGCTTGGCCGCGCAAGACTTTGTTGCCCTCAAAAGTGTCAACCCAATACATACTATAGTCCTTAATTATACAACCCTATATGACCCCTATAATCCCCGTAGTTTCCATTTTCTTTTCCATTATCCCAACAAAAACCCAATATAACCCCAATGTGCTAGAGTTGTGCTGCATTCTCATGCCGCAGGGTGGCGCTGTCTGGATCCCTGCGCTCTCCGCCATTGGCGCCGGCTTTGCCATCGGACTTGCCGCAATCGGCTCAGGCGTCGGACAGGCCACGTCACACAAAAAAGCTGAGTTTTCAGGCCCAACAAGCCTGGGCCGTCAAAAATTGAACAGTTTGCATGGTGCATACCATAGTATCGTATGACATACTTGATTGTGGTAGCTTTAAACATAATGAATGAATAGGGGTACCTTTTTGGGGGTCCCCTAAATCAGTACTATAGTATTTTGGGCTCTATATTGGGGTCCCCCTATTTAGGGAAACTACTAGTACCATATGCCCTACACCCTCAACCCTGAAACTATTAGAATGGTATATTTGAAGATGTACTATCATAGGGCATCGCCAGCGGCCGCTGCATCGACGGCATTTCCCGACAGCCGGAGGCGCGGCCTCCGACGTCCGATGCCTAGGGTTTAGGGCATAGGGGGTTTAGGGAATTTAGGGCTTGTAGGGTTACGTACTCTTAGGTCCAACAGCTTGGAGTTCAGACAATTTCATGTTTTGAGGACTGAGCATGGGCAGTTCCCCAAATTGAGGTTTCATCTTGTACCCTACTATGAGGTGCGGCATCGTAATCGCCATTCCGGAATGCGGTACGGCATTAAATTTGAGCCTTGCAGAAACAATTGAATTCTTTAGCCTCGGAAGGTTCCTGGATTCAAACACGCGGTATGATAGCGAGAATACTATAATTTTCACGCGGCCGTTCCAAACTGCGGATGCAGGTTCAAGCTTGTTGCTGTATGGAGCAGAGTGTCCACAGGACCGTGTAGCTGTAGAGGCCTAGGCCCCAAACAACAAATCTGAGAATAACATGAATGAACTCCAGGGTCACTGCTGTTTAAGCTTTGGGGTTAAAGTTCAAGGCCATGCCAGAAAACAGACTCGAAACCCTAAAAACCCTGCTTGCAGCTGGCACGTGCGCAGGTTGCAGATGACCTCCGCGGCGTGCTGTTGCTTGACAGGGAGGGGTTTGAAGGGCCACCTCCCCAAAACTTACATAGAATCATAGTTAGGCTCCTTTTGTGAAAGGGCAGTACTGTCTTTGTGGTCGCAGCACGAAAAATTGGTGCTGTTCGGGTGAAGCAAACCACTAAACAGCTGAAGGTCGGTCATAACTGATTGTTGTTGAATAGAGGGTTGCATTATTAGCGGTGATGTGTAGAATTGCGTGTATATTGTGTATACACGTACCCAGAACTACCGCTTTCAAGTATTTTTCGAATGGGTATGTTACTCACTGTTCTTCACTTACTGTTCGTACGTTACGCAGATGCACGCAGTATGATGCGTGAATGTCAGGCCCTTTAGGTCATGGTTCCTGTAATCCCAGATCCCAAAGCCAAAAAACACATTGCGATAGAGCTTGCAATCCATGAAGCCAACTACCTTGTTTCAACCTTGACTTCCAAAAAACAATTTGAACACTATTTTACACAGGGATAGCGCAGGCCTCAGATTTAGCATTTAGCCCTTGTTAAGGTATGCTTTTATAGTGAGAATGTGTTCTTCTTTGGTTAAGCCACGAAGAGCAACCAAACTCTTAAACCCTAAACCACAAAGCCTAAGGCTGCTGTCCCTGGCTTTCATGGAGTCCTTGACCATCTACGGCTTGGTGATTGCGTTGGTGCCCGTTGAATGGAATGGTTTCGCAATGCTAGGTTGCCTTCTTCTGTGTCATTAGACGGATTTGGGTCTGCAGCACATGAAGACGTTTTACAAGTGCAGGCTTTTGCATGCCCGCCACCAAAATATTCCCCGCCCCTAATGCAACGTATTCCGATTGTACCATGGCATATTAAGATGATGATTTGCAAAGGTTCCCGCGTTCTTGGCATGACGAAGGGATCTTGAGTGGGCCGGACCAAAGATCACGTTTATGAGGATGTTGATATGATGTTGATGCACCGTAGCCCTAAACCCCAAACCTTTAACCCGAAACCTCAAACCCTAAGCCATAAATCCTGAACCCTTAACCGCTGGCAGTCGTGGGCTTTGGGGGTTCACGGGTTTACTTAGCACTTGGGATTCCTCTGTTTGGGGTTTCAACGGTGGAAAGTGCGCTGGGATGCCATTTGCTTAGGGTTTAGTTAGGGTTTCGGGAGGGTTCAGGATTTGGGGTTTAGGGTTTAGGGAGGGTTCAGGATTTAAGGTTAGTTATCCAGGGAAATTTCAGTGCATTAATCTTCTCCAGATGCTTGTGTCAAAGCTCTGATTGTCATACACGCCCTTGCATGAGTTGCTCGAGCTTGGGGAACGATCGCATAGGCCAGCTTCCGTTTGGATGTATGCGGGACTTTGAAGAACTTGCAGACAAACACGTTTCGCTGAACTCTGTGTGTCTCCACGCGCAATGCCACCGCACAGGAACTTGAAACCTTAATTCCTGAAATGCTGAGCTCCAAGCTTTTCAAACCCCAGACCGTTCATCAGCCATTTGTGGTCAGCTGAGGTGCTCCTGTTCGCAAACCCGCTGATTAAGTGAGCGTGATGTTGGAGAATCCGGAGGATGTTTTCCAGGACTTGATGGATAGGGCTTTCTCACACTCGGAGCGCCCCTCCTTGGGACAATTGTCTCAATTCCTTTGCTTCAAATCCTGAGCCAGAGGCCGAACTACTGGCGGGCTTAGGGTTTGGGTGGATTTTAGCAGAAGTGAAACATGACAACTCGAGCACACCAATTTAGGCATGCGCCGTGTGCTGTTCAGCCCATGACGTCCATGACCGCTGCGGGTGCAAATTCAACTACATGGGTGTTCCCTAAACAAGCGGACCCTCATAATTGTAATCCTTATTATGGGGACCTCCAAAAATGGTACCTCTAATTCTGGGAAACCCTCACATCTCCCCAAACGCATAAACTCTAAACGTCCTGCATCCCAAACCTTACATCTTCCTGTTCCGCGGCCGCGTTGTCGGAGAGAAGCCCCAGATTGCCACGCTTACGCCCCGAGCTTCCCGGCTAACCTCACAAGACGCATGGCCAAACTTGCCGCTACGTTTGGGTTTAGTGTTTTTGGTCTCAGGGTCTTGCGTTTCACCAGGGCAGCAATGCAGAACACTACTTGAAACCCAAAAGGATATTGAATAATTGTATCTTTGGCTTTTTATGGGTTATCAGCCGATATTTGACCTGTTTGTGTGGTCCAAGTAGAGCTTGCAATTTTGAAAGCAGCGTTTTTATTTAGCAGGATAGATAGGACATGTGCTTTCCCGGAAAAACAGCACTAAATTTTCCGCAGCTTCAGAACTTGGAGCAATTGGGCTTGACGGCCTCAGGTTGTAGAGCCTCGTGCGAGGCCCCCCGCCCGATGAGTGGGTGCAGCATTTAGCGCACCCAGAAAGTTTGTGCCTTTCTGTACTTGTCAGTCATATGGTTTCTTTTTGGTCAAGTTGCAGGAATACTACAGGGAAGCTTGCGCTTTTCCGTTCGACTACATTGCAATCTTGTCATCAAGAATTGACACGTCGGGTTGAGAGACTCATGACTGAACCCCAGCAAAGGTAAAGAAAACCTGC